CTCACATGCTTGCTTTCCGCAAAGCTCATTCCACTCACTACCATAGAAACATGACACTCTTTGAGCTTGATCTCTAAGGGCTAGTTTTGGCAGGGTCAGCGGTCAAATTTATGTTTAACCAAACTGATCGCCTGACATATTACAACCATCTACGGTGACACAGAGAGTAGGTTCTAGGATAAAGAGCTAAACCGCAAGGTGATGTGGCCAGTCCCAGTAAAAGGCAATTAAATAAACAAATACTTCACAGCGGTTCATTTTATTTCCATCCTGGCACTCGGGGGCAATGGCTAATTAGGAATGTAACATAAGGTTAGGAACCATTTGCCCCAAACCCTTGATCAATTTAATTTTCTGTTCATCCCTTCTGCTATTCTACCTCAAGTTCCTTAATTTCACCATTATCAAAGTCCGAGCAAGAGCTATTTTATTTGGTGCTTGGAATCCACCTGTTGAAACAACAGGTGAGGCATACACAAAAAATTGCGAGCCTGTTTCATGACAGGGTTCAAACAGAGCTCATGTAATTGCTTCCAATTCATTTTCCTCCTTGGAAGCTTATACTTGGGTTGTGCTCAAAGCAAACATCAAGTATATCAGATTCAACTTTGATTCATTAAATTCCACCCTCGTTTAAAAGGAAAGACTAAAACTAAATTTGGAAACCACACGTTCTAAGTGGCAAAGAGGTGTTCTAAAGAGTATAAACATCTGCAGGAGGACACGCTGTACTTATCTGAAAACTTTCATGACATTTCTATTTTTTTTTTTTTTTGATTCAACTTTTTTCCAAAGAGGAAATTTTTCATAGAAGACTGATACACTTATGCAGCTGTATTTAATGTATATCTCACTTAATTCTTTATTTAATCAGCCGTCAAGCACTCAACTGCTTTCTCTCTGGATTGTAATGCTTGTCATAAACAGTTACCCTTGCACTGAGAGGATAACATGCTTGACTTCTAAAACCGAGCGGATGTCTCTCATAAACGAAGGTTATAAATCAACCCAAAACAATGCTAATTACATCTGAGATACGGTAGACAGAGTGTATCGATAGAAAAGTCCACGTTCTTCATATATATTGCTCTTAAGGACAGCAGGCACCATACCAATTTGATTAGCTGGCCACAGACTCCTACTTTTTGGTAAGTTCTGGCTATCTCTAATATAAGACCCATTGCTTTGTTTGAGCCCTACTGCCGTCGCCCATTCCTTGCATGTCACAACACACAACTCTTCTTAAAGAACAGAATGGTTTCTGTTGTTCAAGTTAAATAAATCTTCACTTCTGAAAAAGGAATTTCAGTTTTCTATTCGAGATAACTGAAAAATCAAAAGAGCTACCTAATTCACCACATCCGATTCATATAAATTACTGTGCTGCAAAGCTCCCACAGGCTGAAGATAGAACATTTTAAAGGTCAGATGGGGTAGGAACAATGAAGGGCTAAGGTGGGGATGAAGGTGGGTGGTTGATATTTATATGCAATAAAGACAGAATAGGCTTGAGAATCTCCTCTAAGGACCAATTCTTACCATTTTGAGAATCATAACAGTCTTGGACTTGCACCCTCCCTCTCTTCAGTCCAGGAAGACCAACCTGCAAAATATGTTTATACAGTAGACAAATCACCTCACCATAGGTCAGCAAATGAAAAATGCCTGTTTAGAGGTTACAGACAAATAACCATTTTCTGTGGTTAAGACAAGTTACATGCAAATTACTGTTACTGCTGGGGCTTCTGAAAGAGCTTTCCAACCTGTCTATAGGCTGAAATAGGGGACAAAGGAATCCTTGGTACCTGGCTTTGCAGAGTCCTGGGCTATTCTTAGTGTTTGATTCATTTTTAAATCGAAGTTCAAAAGGTTTAGCAACTTAAAAGTAGAATCAAGTGATAAAAATAGATTGTTTTCTGGCTGCTCTTTGTTCCCAGACATACTACTGGCAGTATATTTGCAATCAAGACAGCAGAATAGGAATTAGCCTTCCACCGTGTAGTGTAATGCCTCAGAGTGGATATTTTTGGAAATGGCACTGCATTACATAACCTTCCGTGTTTAGAAAAAAAAAAAGAAAAAAAAACTACACTGGGGGGGAGAAAGTGAGGAATATACACCATTATGCCCTTCTCCCTAAACCAAATCAACATTAATGTACATGCTGCAGTGATTTTCCTCTCAACATTTATATCATCAGAATACAATTCTTTTGTTAACGTAAGTTATGACAAAAATTAAGATGAATGGAGAAACTAAAAGTTCTCCAAAAGGGTATCATAAGCTCTTAGAGTTTTCATATGTTATTATACATACATATAAATGCAAATCACATTATCATCATCAAGCAAAAAGCAGTCATTTATTTTTAATCCATCCCTTCTTCCTCCAAAGTTCAATTGCTTTATAAGAAAATGCAGAAAAAAGTGTTGCAAGATTGAATGCCTACAAAGACCCTTGGCGGCAACAGCAGCGTTGAAAGAGTAATAAAGTATAAAGATGGAGGGACACAAATTCATTTAATAAAAGGGGGAGGGGTGCATGCACCAAAGTGCATTCAATGCAAAGAAACAAAACAGTTCCTCGCAATGCTTTAGGAGCAAGAAGAACAAAAATTAACCACACCAACAAGCAAAAAAGAAAATAAACAGATTAAACCCGCCCCTTCCCCAAAGAATTCTCCCTCTTAACTTGTGCATTTTTTTAAGCCCAATTTAAATTCCAGCCTTAATGCAGCAGGACCAAAATGCCAGAATTTCTCTAAGGTCCACGCTTCAGCTCCTTAAAATTTAGAGGGAAGAAGCATGAACTCTGCAGGGTTGAAGGGTCCGGTTAAGAGCAAAGGCAAGAAATCGACACAAAAGAGAAAGCAGCGCTCCCGGCCGGGGATGGGAATGGCATATACTTACAGACAAAAGCCCCGCTCCCTGCTCACTCTCTCCTCTCTACACCTGAAACACAAATGTGGATGAAAAAGGGCATCATGCTAGAAAGACAGCTGGGGGAGGGG